AAACAGGCACAGGTCCTTTGACATGTATTAATGCATTGATCCTCACAACTGTCTGCAATAGGGATAGTATTTAGTCCCTTTTTATAGATGAGGAAAAAGAGGAAAAGAGAGGTTAGATACTTTGCTCAAGGTTATAAGGTAGTGAGTGGAGGATGTAGAATTTAAACTCAGTCTGTCTCCAGCATCAGTGTTCTTGACCACAACATTATAGAGTCTGGTGTGATTCAGAACTTGTGTAGGTCTTGCAGAAAATCCACAAACTTGGGAATGTTTCATTAACATATTTGATAATAGAAAAACAACTATTAGCCTTTCCCCTTATGAAATTCTATTTTAAAGCTTTATCTTTTTATCACTGAAAAATGAAGTTTGGGCTGGGCGTGGTGGCTTACGCCTGTAATCCCAGCACTTTGGGAGTCCAAGGTGGGCGGATCATGAGGTCAGGAAATCAAGACCATCCTGACCAACATGGTGAAAACCCATCTCTACAAAAAATACAAAAATTAGCTGGGTGTGCTCACGTGTGCCTGTAATCCCAGCTACTCGGGAGACTGAGGCAGGAGAATTGCTTGAACCAGGGAGTCAGAGGTTGCAGTGAGCTGAGATCATGCCACTGTACTCCAGCCTGGTGACAGAGGAAGACTCTGTCACAAAAGAAAAAAAAAAAGAAAGAAGTTTGATGTCTTATACCTTTTTAAACACTATGACTATGACCAAATGCTGTTTGGGCTTTACAACCCCTAACCAAGATATGATGGTTAATAACAGAGTTATTATTGACAGAGATAAGACAACTATTGTTTGAAAGAAAACATTATGTTACAAACACAACTGAAGAGAAAATAGCAACAGTCATCAAGTGTTGCCACGTGTGACAATAGTGTTTTCTATATTTTCTCTCATTAATTTTCACACCAACCCTCTGAGATGGGCATTTTTACTTCCATTTTCTATATAAGGAAACTGAGATTCAGAACCCTGAAATTATTTGTCTAAGGTTACGTGATAAGTCATCTACCCTTCCAATTCAAAACCCTGGGTTCTATCTGTGCTTGGTGTCTTAAACAAGAAAAGCAAACAACTCTTAATAGTGATCCAAAGTTCTCACAGGAATTTCTTCTCTATGAGATAACCCATAGGCTCCATGTAGAATTGCAAATATTTTTAAGATGTTGCATTAACCAAGCTGAGGATTTCACAAAACCAAGAATCTTTCATCAAAATTTGGATCAAAAATGTTGAGATCTCAATTTTTATAAAAGAAAGGTAATTTTAATAAAAATAATGAAGTACATTAATTCAGAATAAAGGGCACTTCTCGAAACTAAGCACTTTTAGGTTGTCTTCATTTTTCTCACTTAACCATAAATACCTGGACATGAATGTTACGCTTTGCACAAGAGCTATTTTGTGGAATGGTATTTGGAAACCGATTGTTTAGTTGACTTTGATAAATGCTTTTAGTTTTGATTTTGCACATGTGTGTGCACTCATGCATACATGAGTGCTTGTGCATGGGTGGGCAAGCGTGTTGCCAGAATAGAAAAAGACATCAATATTGCTAGCTAATTTATATTTTAACTGGTGACTCATAGCACACCATTATTGAATGCAACTCAATGAAATAACTAAACTAGGTTAGCCTAGCATTTTCAGTTAAATGCAAAGGTCTAATCATTAAATGAAACCAACATCGTTATTGATGAAATTCTAGTATGATCTCATGTCAAAAAGAAAAATCAACAAAGACAAACATAACTCGTGTTTATGAAATAGAATATCATTGTGTTATCACAAATATATTTCATCTTTGGACAAAGTTTACTTGGGTTTTGACAAATGAAGAAACAGTCAATTAGTCAAAAGTTGTTCTTGGGGAAACATGACTGAAAACACCATTCCTGTTTCTGGTCTCATTACAATTGTTATAAAGTTGGACATTTCTTTCCCCTCTCCTTCCTAACTTAAACTTTGCTGTATCTCCAACATTCCCACACATAACTCAGGAACAAACTTAACCCCAGCAGCCCCCACCCAAAGTCCGATTTCCCTTCCAACCTGCCCTCTTCATCTCTAACACCTGTTTCCAACACAGCTTCCTTCCTAGAAGTGTGTGGGGCAATCTTCTCGCTACCTTAAAACAGCTATTCTCCAGCCTAAAGCAACGTATTTGTTTCTTTCTACTTTCTTTTCTCCAACTTTTCTATTAAGAAAAATTTCAAAAAACATACAGTTTATCATCTTAAAATGTACAATTCAGTGGGTTTTAGTATATTCACAGTGATGTGCAACCATAGCCACTGTCTAATTCCAGAACATTTTCATCACCTTCAAAGAAACTTGAACCCATTAAACAGGAACTCCTCAATCCCCCTCCCCACCTCCCTTCTCCCTCCCTACTTCTTGCTTCAACTAATAGCATGTCTTCTCTGGGCCATGAATCCCAGTGTAGTAAACATGTATCTAGCTTCTGTAACTTGACGTTTTCACATTGGTCCTATAGGCATATGTTGGACATGCTTTGTCCTGGACAACCTGGTAGTATGTTTCAGTCACCTTGCCTAGGTTCCCCGCCTTCCCCATCAGCCCTCCCCATTCTTTGGGAGGAGTCCTTCTCCCATGAGTTTACTTTTCAGTATAAACCAGCCAATCCAGACTTTACACTTCTAGCCACCTATTTTATTGGGCTCTTATATTCTTGCCACTATCCACCTGACCCAACCACTCCAAGGCCAGTATTAGACAAGTAGGAACAACCCCCATATCCCAGAGTCGACTGAAATGATTCAAACTGGCCAATTCTAGGTCTGCTTCTTTGCCTTTCCCATTCCTTCCCACAGAAACCACAATAGGGGCTCTTGTCCGTAATTCCCTGCTCTGATCTGTCTTGTGACCTGCCCTGGTGCTTCCCCATGGGGCCCCCATTGCGTGGAGTGGCATTCACCTGAATCTGTCTTTTCAATGGCAATTGTCTCCTGATCTGTTGGTCTTATCATGCCTCAAAATTACAAAATACACTATATTCTAAAACATTCTGTTGCCATCACTCATGCTGGCCTCACTAAACACAAAGACAGGAAACACAGAGCCCACACTCTGCCACAGAGCAGATGTGTGACCTTAGGGATGTCTGTTAACCTCTCTGGGTCCATTTGTTTATCTGTCAAGTGATGAGCATTTAACATTTTATAACACATATCCCACTTTTGGAAACAGAAGAATCCTATGCCTCTATTGCCCTCCTCTGCGTATGTGTCTTCACACTCAAGAAGTGGTAGCTTCACACTTCCCCAATAACAAGATATTTCCTTTCTACATTATTAAATAGCTACATTTCCTTTTTGAAATAAAAAATTTTATACTATTTGCTATACTTTTTTAAAACTGTGCACCTTATTTTGTAAATCATTGGAATAGGTGATTCTAATTTCTCTCCAAATTTTGAAATTCTGTTCAGAACATATTCAAAAGTATTACTTGAACTGTTACACATGAGCATTCATTTGCTCATCCATTCAAATATTTATTGGTTAAATACTGGGTACACACAAAAGAAAGGCATGGGAATAACTGGTATTGAAGTGTTCCAGATCCAGATTGAGAAGTAACTATGTTTTCCTATATTTGTAGGTTTAATGTAGGAATGCTGCCAAGAATAGATTAAGTTTTAACATGGCACACATTTGTTTGTTTTTGGAGGTGACAGAGAAGCTACCCACTTGCGGTCCTAAAACTTGGCCAAATAATGCACTTTAGTAGCATCCTATTTGGTAAGAAAATTTGTGAACTGGTAATATCCTCCTAAATGCATGCCTTCTTCACCAAGTAGATTGGAGCTGGAAAGTAGGTTTCACATTCAGAAACAACTGGGATCAATCAGCTGTGGCTGCCAATAACATATTTTTGTGAATTGTGAAGCCATGTCCAAGCTCAGAGAGATACTGTGGTCACTGATTAGCAATGCCGGCCATGAAAGTGGTTTCAGGAAGTAGTGATGTGAGAACCAAGGGTTGTGTTTTTGCCATCCTTGAGATAGATTTTCAACAGCAGAGAAAGTTTCCTCAACCTCCTTACTACTCAGAAACACTAGCAGAGACTGGGTATGAGAGGAAAAGGTGGAAAGCTATGGTGATGATAGACATTGCTAGGGCAGGATCCTTCTCACACATTAAATTTGTTGGGAGATGTCAACCTTTGAGGGGCAGGAGAGGTCTGAATTTAGCAAGTTAACATATATCTCATAGCCACCCCCCAACACCAAAAAAAGTTAAGAAAAATATCATTATAACTATCCTTTTCTAGAGTGAATCATAGCACAGACAACACCATTTGTGCTATTTTGTTTCTTGTTTAATTTTCAATTTTGAACAATGTATATATGCATAACACTGACAGTCAGAAGTTCCTCATCTCAAACTAGATATAATTAAAGAAAAAGTTCATCTGACAATGAAGGAAATAAATATCAAATAATATTATCCAGTCTTTTATGCTAATCCCAATAAACAGATAAAATCTGCCTTCAGGTTTCACTAACCAAAGTAAGACATACATCCCATGTTTTTTGCTTCCCACACATTACAAAAAAACAACTACATCTCATTAGCTTTGTTTAGGAAACACACAATCCTTAGATGGCTTTTAAATTCAAATTCAACTATTCTTATTGAAGCTACAAAGGGGAATTTAATTTGTTTTTGCTTAAGCAGGGAAAACCTCATTAATTTAGATTGTCTGAGTAGTAAGCCTATTTGGAAATAGTGAAAATTCTGAATTAATATTATTCAAGAAAAGGATGAAGAGGAGCAGCAGGAAAAAGAGAAGGAAGAGGAGGAAAATAATTCCTTGCTTATAATTGCAGAGAGTATAATATATATGTCTGCATAGCTAAGCTGTTATTACAAAAGACCCCAAATACAGGTTGTATTAGTTAGGGTTCTCTAGAGGAACAAAACTAATGAAATTATTCATATATATATTATTATTATATATTAACTTACATGATAGGCCATCTGCAGGCTGAGGAGAAAGGAGAGCCTGTCCGAGTTCCAAAACCAAGAACTTGGAGTCCGATGTTCAAGGGCAGGAAGCATCCAGCACAAGAGAAAGAACTAGGCTGGGAGGCTAGGCCAGTCTCTTTTTCACACTTTTCTATCTGCTTATGTTCTAGCTGTGCTGGCTGCTGATTAGATTGTGCCCACCCAGATTAAGGGTGGGTTTGCCTTTCCTAGCCCACTGACCCAAATGATAATCTCCTTTGGCAACACCCTCACAGACATACCCAGGACCAATACTTTGCATCCTTTAATCAAGTTGACACTCAGTATTAACCATCTCAAGCCCACACTTTTTCGACTTGAACCCACATGCATCTCCTGAGATAATACATAATCTTCAAACAAGGACAATAAAGTCATAATTATGCCTAACAGAATACAACTATCCTTCATAGAACAGCAAACCCACCAATCCCCAACTCAAACACTATTACATAAAGTTAACAGTATTTGAATGCTGATGTAAAGTCAATAAATCTTGTCACGTGATAAAGGAGAAAGCAAATAAAATGAAGATATTTTCTTAGTACAAATGTATACATGCACAAACTTTTTTTTTTTTGAGACAGGGTCTCACTCCATCACCAGGCAGCAGACTGGAGTGCAGTAGCACGACCTCAGCTCACTGCAATCTCTGCCTCCGGGGTTCAAGCAATTCTCCTGCCTCAGTCTCCCGAATAGCTGAGACTACAGGCGCGCGCCACCATGCCCAGCTATTTTTTTTTGCATTTTTGGTAGAAACGGGGTTTCACCATGTTGACCAGGATGGTCTCTATCTTTTGACCTCCATCTCCTTCTTTTTCTACAGTTTGAGCTGGTTTCTTGTCGCTTTCATAGAAAATATTCATATTTGTGATCAGTAGACAAAGGCTGGTAAGGTTTGCCACAATATTGTCAATAAAATACAGTCTTATTATTTTTCTTAAAAAAAAAACATAAATGAAAGTGCTTGGTTGGGAGAATCTGTTTGCTAGGACTGTGGAAATATTTGTTTACAAGCAGCATGTTATCACATCTCATTTACATGAGTTCTTGGGAGAATAAAACTTCCATGTGAATTAAAATTAACTTACAGATAGCTGAACTTAGCACTTTATTTAAATGGCCAAAATTTTATCTTCACTATTTTTGATGATAGGTTTTCTCAAGTGTATGATTCTCTACCTCTTGAAACAGGCTATAATGAATATAATTTTACCTGTGTGTGATGGCTCAGGGTCATCTTTAAGGTTATTATTACATTGAGCTGTAACACAATGATGTCCTTGGGGGCTTCAGAGACCTAATGAAGGTTTTGGTCCCTATATGAAGAGGCCCTAGAGAGCAGCACTTTTAGTCTGTCTCCTTTCCTTCCAAACCCCTTCAGATTTACTGCTCCAGCTCTGCTGTGGGTTTCAGAGAACTGCTAATCCAGTTAAGTCTTTAACAGTTAGCGGAATTGTGTCTTGTATGAGGAAAATGTGCCTCGTGTAAATATCTGGGCATTCTGCTTCCTGTGCTGCAACGCATAAGCTTTACTGCTTTGATTTTGGCTATGAAGAAACCTTTTCCTTCCCTAGTTGCCTGTTTTTTCCACTGGACTCTGGTTAATTAGAAGTTGCTGGATCTGTGACCTAGTTAAAGAAGTTTTTCTATAATTAGAAACACAGGTTGGACTCGTTAGGGTCGTGAGATTTCATTTTGTTAAGTCACTTGTAAGCCATTTCTTTCTACACTTTGTAGAAATTCTACTAGGTTAGTCCAACTCAGACAATGACAGGATCAGCAAACGTTTCTGTAAAGGGCCAGGAAAAAAATACTTTAGGCTTTTTTTAGCCAAAAGGCAAAATCAAATATACTGTGTTGGTACTTATGTAACAAGAGAGAAAACAAATTTTCATAAATTTTTCATTGATTAAATGGTAAATGTAATAATAATTGAATATCATTCTTGTAATACAACTCTACTAAGAATTGTTTTGGCAGAAAGTAACATTTTGATTAATTGGGGTTCAAAGTTAGTGTCCCCTAGCTTCAAATTGGTTGTAAATGCTTATCTATAAAAGCCACTCAACTCACAGGCTGTTCAAAAACAGGTGGCAGTCCAAGCCTCCAAAAAGGCTGAGTCAATCCTAGCCCAATGGGTAAAAAATATGATTAGGTATGGCCTGTCAGTGTATTCCATGCCCCTGGCAATAATGAATGGTCCAGGATTAAACATACTGGCCAGTTTCGGCCAGTGAGACTCTAGGAGGAGAGAAACACTCTTTCCAGGCTGGTTAATAAGGTGCAAGGTTGTGTTTGGGGCCAATAGCCATTTTGCCACCTCATAGGGAAAGTTTGCCTAAAAATGAAGCCAACACACAGGAGAGAAGGTCTAAAAAGAAGAGGGAGTAACTGATGCATGAAGTCGTCATTTGAGTACCAGAAGTCACCATTCTGAGCTTTACCCCTGGAGTTTTTTGTTATGGAAACCAATAAACTCCCCTTCCTTATCCCTGCTTTTTTTTTTTTTTTTTAAGCCAAATGGAGATTGGTTTATGCTTTGAGCAACTGAAAACATCCTGATAACAAAGTGGGCTTTAGAAATGACAGAAATAAGAGTCCAATTGTATATAGAGGAGCAAGGGCTTGGTGAGCCCTCTGAACACTGAATCTTGTAGGCAATTTTAGCACAATGGCATCTGTGTATCTAAACATATTTAAACAGACAAAAAGTACAGTATGAAAGATTTAAAAAGTGAGATACCTGTATAGGGCTTGTGAATGGGCCTTACAGGAGTAGAAGTTGCTCTGGGTGGATCAGTGAGTGAGTGGTGAATGTGAAGGCCTAGGACATTACTGAGCACTACTGTAGACTTTACAAATACTGTACACGTAGGCTACATTACATTTACAAAAAAAAAAACTTTCTTCAGTAATCAATTAACTTTGGCTTACTATGATTTTTTACTTTTTGATGCTTTTAACTTTTTGACTCTTTTGTAATAACAGTGTAAAACAAAAACACATTGTACAGCTGTTCACAAATATTTTCTTGGCTGGGCATAGTGTCTCATGCCTGTAATCCCAGCACTTTGGAAAGCTGAGGTGAGAAGATTGCTTGAGGTCAGAAGTTTGAGACCAGCCTGGCCAACAAGGTGAAACCTCGTCTCTACCAAAAAGCACAAACATTAGCTGGGCATGGTGATGCGCACCTGTAGTCCCAGCTACTCAGGAGGCTGAGGTAGGAGAATCGCGGGAACCCAGGAGGCAGAGGTTGCAGTGAGCCAAGATTGCACCACTGCACTCTAGCCTGGGGAATAAAGTGAGACTCTGTCTCAAAGAAAATAAAAAAAATAATAATTTCTTTATTATATCCCTATTTAATACGCTTTTTACTATTTTTCACTTGATCTTAGCCAAAAGGCTGAGAAGTGACTGCTTTTTACTATTTTTCATTCTAAAACTACTTTTAACTTTTTTGTTAAAAACTAGGACAAAAACAGAGACATTAGCCTAGGCCTGCACAGGATCAGGATCAACAATATCACTGTCTTCCACCTCCACATCTTATTCCCCTGGAAGGTTTCCCTGGGCAGGAATATGCATGGAGCTGTCATCTTCTATGATGACAATGCCTTCTTCTGGAATACTTCCTGAAGGCCCTGTATTCTTAATAAGAAGGAGTACCCTCTACGATAATGATAAATAGTAAATACATAAATACATAATACAGTCATTTATCATCAAGTATTATGCTACTGTTCACAATTGTATGTGCTATAATTCTATATGACTGGCAGTGCAGTAGGCTTGTTTATACCAACATCACCACAAACATGTCAGTAATGCATTGAGCTTATGACATGACAGCTGCAATGTCATCAGGTGATAGAAATTTTTCAACTCCATTGTAATCTTATTGGACCACCATTACATATGCAATCCATCACTGACCCAAACATCATTATGTGGTACACGACTATATTTTATTGCAAAACTTGGGTCTTAGGGTCTCCATCTGGTAGAGTATTGAGTAAGGAGTGAGAGCGGGAGACCTGGTTATGAGAAATGAGCCATGAATAATGAAAAGGAGGGAGATGCAGTTATAGAGATTTAGTATTTTTCCTCCCTTTCCGTCACCCTGAGGCTCAGAGTAAAAATAATCCCAAACTTGTGCATCTGAGAAGGCAAGAGATTGGCAAGGGTAGACTTTGTCCAGTCCTCTTGAGGTCTAAGCAATGAGCATCTGTTGTTTTGCTTACAGAGATTCCTCTTCTTCCTGCTTTGGGAACAGTACTTCCCTTTGGAGTCTGGGTGAGTCCCACCTCCTTGTCTCTTGGTCCACAAGGTTTAGGTGCTGCTGAGTGAATCTAGCAGTGTGGACACATGGCCATCTGGTTTGTTCCACTTTTAGATTATGGTGATCATAACCAAGTAGGCCTGATCAGAACTACTACAGGGACTTCATAGCAACTGCGAAAGAGGTGCTGGCTTTCAACTGGACTTTTTGAAACTGCCAGAGGGGGCCTCGTGGAGAAGACCTACCTCCAAGAGGAGATTGGCGCCAAGAAAATTAGACCCAGGTGGAATGAAAGCATGTTTGAGCCCTTGAACCCAGGCATACATGAAGTTACATTTGCCATTTGGACTTTATGGTAATATGAGCCAATAAATTCCTTCATTCCATCGGAGTAGCATTCCTCTGTTCACTGTTTATTGCTAGGCAAAAAGTGAAGTATGAAAAAAGTATTTTTAAAGGACGGTGAATGAAAGAATCTGTGATCTCATCTGTAAGGAGTGGAAAAGATGTGCTAATGTATTTTTACTTGGGCTTCATAATACAGTGTTTAAATTCCAGAAGAATCTTAGTAAGTCCTATAATATGCTACAGGTATATAAGGATTAACATAGCTCTTGTGTGTTGTCCTATAAGCAATTAACAACCGAACTTTGGAAATACAACCTGGTCCATCTGTCAGGACTTACCTTCATTGAAAAAGAGTCATTGACAAGACTACATCAATTCTGACTACCATAAAATTCTTCCCAATGTCCTTCCAGCAAAAACTGGTGAGCAGAACCTAAAGTTATAAACCAAATATTTCCTAAACATTAGGTTGTCCATATTTAAAGATGTGAGAGACATTAGACATAAAGAACTTTTTATTTTACCACTCATAGAAAAGGGTACATTGAACATGTGCATAACCAGGGTGAATATTTTTGTTGAAAATGAAAACATGTCACTTTTTAAATTCAGAAATAACAATTTTTTAATGGTAAAAGTTTCCTTAACCAGAATTTTGTATTTTCAATGGAGATGAAAACCTAAGCTAATTTGTTTCTTCAGAATAAGAATTTTTTAATGACAATGACTTCTACCTGTGGGATCATAAACAAATGTAAGCATATTGTCCTTAGGAAAACAAAATATATATAGAGAGAGAGTTTAAATAATTTCTGTAAAATCTCCAGAATTTCCCAAACTCTGTTCTTTGGAGCCATTAGTAGGTGTCACACACACACACACACACACACACACACACACACACACACTCCTGTAGCCAAAGGAGACTGGGAAATATTACACTCAATCACATTAGTATAATTTAGAATGTGACAAGTCTTGCAGTAGAGATACCTGTTCAAATCTGTTTAGCTCAGCATTTCCCAAAGCTAACTTTCTCAAAATTAACTACCATATAGCATTTCCCCAACCCAGCCCACCTCCAAACCTCCATTCCTCAAAGCAACTTGTGCAACAGCTTGTGGAACTAGTTCCATAAAGTGAAGTTTGGGAAACACTAGTTTCGTGGTTTCTATTTACATAGATTTTGCTGTCTGAATAATATGTAAGAAATCTTGAGTGACAATTGCACCCATTTGGATATATCTTCAACTGACTCCATAATTAGAAATTTAAAATGCAAATTTTTCAAAAGCAAACTGTCTTTACCATTTATACGTGTTGCTGAAATCTATTTGGTTTTGTGTATACTCATATTACTTTCCAGTGTATCTGGTATAGGTAATAGGCTCAAAAGACCTACAAATATTGAACACAAATAGAATTAACCATGTCTAAATTTTACATATATACAGGACCTTGACAATTTTAATATGGCAGATTTACTGTATACTTTTTTGAGAGGAGGAGGATATATGCCTCTTGGGAAAACCAGGATAATACAAGCTTCTTCACTTACACTCTGTTCAGACGTGTATTATGGATTCATGTTATTATGGATGCAGACATAAAGCCACTGCAATTGAGCCTCAGATGTGGCAGCAAAGAATTAAGAGATCATCACCACTTCTCTCTAAATATAATGAAAATCTAACTTTACAACACTCCTCTTAAATGAGCTTTCCTCATGCTACTTGGCTATGCATTAAATCTTGGCATACACAAAAAAATAAAAACAGGGTAATTCTAACAGTTCATTTATGTTGGCTGCTGGATTATGAAGATTAACTTCTCAGATCATTTTCCAAAGAAGTCATCAAATGTAAGTACAATTGAAAATAAAATCCTGAAAAACATTTCAATATTGATAGGAAACTGAAGACAGGATATAGTCAAGACACCACTCTTAGCTGTATAATATCAGTGTATACCACAAAGGATTAAAAAGTTTAATTTTCTAGGGAATATAATAGAGATTTCAGCTTCAGCAAGGCATATTTTCTGGAAATAATATAATTATTCTCATGCAGAAGAACACATACAGAATGTACAGGTTAAAAACAATTTAAATTTCATTTGTGTTGAAGATAGTTTAATGTGATACATTGAGTTTATTATCAATTCTCTAAAATATTCTTACCCTAGGTCTTACAGACAGCAAGGTCCTTTTCTCCAAAATCACCTGTGGCTTTTTTGTACCCTGGCAGTTTAGACACATCTTCAATCTATGTTGTAATTCAGTGCTTTGCCAAATGTGGTATGCATGTCACTGCTAATACATAAAATGATTTTAGTTGCTCCAGAAAGTATTTTCCATTTTAGTAATGAAGATGATTATTATAAGAAGAGCTACCATTTACTGAGTATTTACTACATGCTATCAAGCACAAATTCTAGTTTTATTAACTCGAATGGTCTTCACAAGACTACTATGTGGTAGCTACTTTGGAGGCACAGAGAGGCCAAGTAACTTGCACAAAATCACAGAGCTGGAAATGGGCAGAGACAAGATTCAAACCCAGGAAGATGAACTGAGAGGCCATGTGTGGTGATTGAATGGATATAATTTATTTGAAAGTAAATTGGCTTAATAAATTTTTAAGAAATGTAAGTCTGTGGATATCAAATGAAGTCATACACATTGTAGGCAAATGTCCAATCTTCAGGTAACACCACTGTAATATGTAATTGTGTGGGGGGGAGATGGGGGGAAGCTGAATATGAAGGCTATGGGCTGTGAAGTGGCTGTTAACTGGTAAATACCAGGACAGAAATGTGGGTGAAGGTATTGCTGCAGAACCCTGGAGATGAAAAGCCCCAATTTTCAACTTACCTGCTTTTGATTTTGCCCAGAATATTCTCTTGTTCCAAAAGGAAATCTTCTTACCTTTACATGTATTAAAGACATCCTACAGTAATACTTCTAGGGAAAATATAAATAATTCAAATAGATCTGAAAAAGAAAGGCCTTGATTATTGTATATTACAATTTAAGAAGAAAATTAAACTTAGGAAAAACCTGACAGTCAGATCAGAAGTATTACAGGAAGTTTCTTGCTCATTTTCTCCAGAGGTTGAACCAGAATATATTTTTTAAAAGGGTAGAAGTTTAAGGTCTAGCTAGGGAATAAAGACATGTTTTGTCTGACACTTCCCAATTCAAATCCAGCATTTATCAAATGACTCTTAAGTAGTATATTCAAAAAAAAAAAAAAAAAAAAAAGCAACCAGGAGCTGGCAGCCTGAGTATATTAAGCTTTCATTATTGTAAATTTGTATTTTAAAAACCCAATATCTTTTCTGTAAATATGCAAGTGTTTCTCTGACAATTTCTCTTTTTTAAAGCCACCTCTCACTGAAACATTTTAAATAAAACTCCTATATCTAAAATGAAGTCTTGGCATTTGGGAGTTTAAAATCTCCCCAAATTCTGAGGGGGATAAAAAAGCTGCATAATTATAGCTCATCTGAGTGTAAGTCATAAAGTAATCAAAAATGTTTAAAACCAAAAAGTAACATCTTAGAGTGGCATTTTAAACAAAAAAAAAGTACTTACTGGCACTTTAAAATTTTTCATGCAATTTGTTATTCATTAAATCAGAAGAAAATGTGCACTACCATTTTTTGATAAGGCAAATAACATTCAAAATTGGCATTAACACAATAGGCCATCACTACTACGTGAAAAACCAAATGCTTTAATGAGGCTATCAAGAACAAGTCGATTATTTCATTGGATACATTAATATCGATCCATAATATACAGTGCTATGGACCACACAGAAATTACTGCTGCATCCAACAGCAGGTGACTATTACTAACATTACAGTACCAAGCATCCGCAAGAGACAGTCATTTGTCATTTATCAAGAAATAGGGCTTTTTTCTACTGTTATTGACATCAACTTTTTCCCAGTGCATTTTTCAAAAATATTAATAAGTGCATTCCTTTGTGCTTTATATCTTTTAACTTCCTATGTATTGTATTTGTTCTTATTGCTTTATTGTTTAAAAACAATCAGAAAGAATTTTGTCATCCTATATATGACCAGGTTGCTTGTATGCTTTTTGGCAAAGTCAGAAGATTTGGTATTTCCATTGCCCTACCCAGAGGCAGAGGGACAATTTTGGCATTTTGGTCCCTCCATATGGAGGTCCAACCTCGAGTCACAATTCTGCACCCGAGGATAGGGGGAGTGGTGTGGATCATTTTCTCGTTACAAACGACAAGGCCAAACCACTGCCTCTTGGCTTAACTAGTCCTTAAAACGAATCCACACTCTATTTGGCAAAAAGAAATAAATAAAACCACCCCCAAGATTGCAGCATTCTCCTGGGCTTGCTCACCTGCCACCTGCAGAAATTGTCTCTTAAGGAGAAGGGGACGGGGAGGCAGGCAATGGCAAAGTCAGGAGTTGCGACAGTCAGGGTAGTGGTACAAGATGCCATACTTTCTTTCAACAAAGCTTTCTATGTGGTTGCTTAACCATGGTCCTGTTCCCTTGGCCATAGGTTAGTCAACCTTGCTTTATTTTTAAAAACCCTCAAAATCAGCTAAGGAAAACTAATATCATAGCATCACGACCTTCAACTTTTGCATCCAGCGCCCGCCCCCCCATATAAATATGAAGAGAAAAATAGACAGTGCTATGATTGTATCAGTGAATACTATGGTACAATTAGCTGTTCATGCAGATTTGCATCACTATTCTAGGAAAAGAGCTATACAGTTAAGGGGGTTGAAAGAATGGGAAGTAATTTTCCCTACCCCCTTAAGTAATAAAGCTATAAAACTGATAGCATCACCAATGTTTCCAAGGATTCTCATTGCCCAGCGTGCATGGGAACTATGCAGTTGATTATTTTTACCTAAACCATTCATTCACACATCTGACGATCACTCCTTCTCTATGAACCCTCCATCACCCATCACCAATTCACATTTGACATTTAAACACTTTAAAAAAAACCCCTCCTGAATAAGGTTTCCTGATGAAAGAAGTTGGCACTCTGTCACTAAAATATATTTAATATTAAAAATATCTGAAGGAAAATTGGAAGCTCTTATATTGTCTACATAGGCACCATGCTACATGTTCCTCTTGACTATAGATACCATCTTGAAACTTTCCCCTACATTACAGTTCAGTCAGTGCTAGTCCAAAAAAGACTACTGCTATATTTAAGGCACTTCATTCTGAATGGATATGCTTTATGCCACTTGCTATTCAATTGTAGGCTGCTACTGAGAAATTCCATTCAACAGCCTGGCTCATAACACTATATGGCATCTGTATAAAACATTTAGGCTTGATACATGTGACACTACTGTTATTGCATAGGACTACACAAGTAGATAATGCACTGAAACTAACTTTACAACATTGCTCCTTGTTAAAACATGGTTATCAAGTAACAGCAATTTGCCAATACAGTATTTCTTTCTTTAAAACAAAATTCAGCAAGTTTGCTGAAATAAACCCCAATTAAATGACCATAATGGGCGTATTAATGCTATGGTTATCCGTCTCCAAGAATATTGCTATTTTCATACCCTAAAAATAAATATGTAAGTTTATTCTTTCTAGAAAGCCTGGTTTTAACCTATTAATACTACACCTTAAAATGTGTCTAAAAACAGTTCCGGGTGAGACTGTAATGTACAAAATATTCTCAAAGCTGTCTTTTAAACACAAGACCTTGCATAAAAGTTTTCTTTCATGGGTGTACAAAGAATGCGGAAAACTACCAGTGAATTGTAAAAATATTGAAAACTTGCCATTTTAAGATGCATATTCTTACAAATTAATACAAACATATTGAAAAGAACAATGATAATAAAGAATCTGTACAAAGCAAATGAACAGTAAAACATAATTTAAAAATAAAAATAGTAAAGCCAATTAGAAATATGCTCAGTTTGGTTTTCTTATCAAAAGCAAAAATGAAAAAAAAAAAAAGAGTAAAACATACTTTCAGTGCTCCTCAACATTTTACTTTGAGAGGACATTAATTTCCACTTCAAAATAAAATATATCTTATGAAAAACTGAATCACACTCATTGATGAAGAAAACTGTAACAGCACAGAATAAAAGAGAGCAAGATTAGACTTTATATGTCAGAGCCTTGGTCTAACTCCCTTCAATTTCGGTTGGTATCAGTTATGTTTTCTAACCAGATGATTCTCATGAAAAGGCTGCATTTTTTGTGTGTTTTACAGAATACAGTATTTCTTTAAGTAGTCTGCAGTATAAACACTAAACAATGCTAGAGGGGTACTGTATCTTTAAGGCAGTACCAATGAATCAATACATTTATAAAATGGAAAAGGGTTAGTATGGATTCCTTTTCCTCTTTCTTTTTTTTTCTTTTTGGTTGCTTTACATTCTTTCAATTAAACTTTACATTTAATTTCCAAGGAAGTCACAGGCATAAAAACCTCAAATCAAGTTTCCCCTGAATAAAAATGGACAGACATTTCTCTGATGCAAAATCCTCTTGCTCAGAAAGCTAAAGTCTGTGGAGAATTCAGTTCACAGATACTGCACACTTATTTGTACAATACTTTGGAGGCATTTGTAGTTGTAAAATAGAATATACAAGTCTGTTTCACAAAATTCTAAAAATAAAATATATCCTGGGCTATTGATAAAGCATGAAAAAAAATTTCATATTAAAGGAAAATTATCAAGAAAACCCCTTCAGGTAAATTATTAAATCTATGAATCAAGAAAGGAAGCAGTTTGTGCGAATGCAGTGCAGGGAGGATTGGCTAACAAGCATGCTCCGTCTCTTCCATGCTCATACTGCTCCTCCGGCTGCTTGTTTTGGAAGCTCCGGGGGACACTGACGAAAGGAGTGGATCAGTGACACCAACAGGAGAAAGAGTGTCGTCCATCAGGATGTCTTCCAGTTTGGATCCCATTTTCGTGGGGACGCTATAGGCTTGGTTGGCCTCGGTCCCAGTTCCAAGGTTGTTGTTGAAGGTGATGGTGCCATCCGTGAGATCGAGAGTTGTTGTACAAGTTAGGTCTGCATGATGCTGAAGGAGGTCTTGGCTGCAGTTTTCAAGAACGGGTTCTTGCTTGATGATCCGATTCACCAAATCTGGAGAGCAGAGACCCGTGGTTGGAATAAGGGAAAGTCCATGAGCTCGAGCCTGCATTTCAAGTTCCTATAAAAAGAGTAAAGATAAAATACTGAAATAGGCAGAGCACAGAGGACTTTTAAGCCTGTAAAACCACTCTACATGATACTATAATGGTAGGTGCATGTCATTAGACATTTAGCCAAACCCACAAAATGTACAACACCAAGAGGGAATGTAAAGTATAGGCTTTAGAGGATAATGAAATGTCACTGCAGGTTCCTTGATTCTAATAAATGTGCCACTCTGGTAGGGAATGTTGATAATGGGAAGGCTGTACATGCTTGGGGGCAGGAGGTATATGGGAAATATCTGCAGCTTCATCTCAGTTTTGCTGTGAACCAAAAACTGTTCTAAAAAATAAAGTCTATTTTTAAAAATCAGATACTTTGGATGGCCAGGCGTGGTGGCTCACGCCTATAATCCTAGTACTTTGGAGGCCAAGGTGGACGGATCACCTGAGGTCAGGAGTTCAAGACCAGCCTGGCTAACATGATGAAACCCGTCTCAACTAAAAATACAAAAATTAGCTGGGCATGGTGGTGGGCGCCTGTAATCCCAGCTACTTGGGAGGCGGAGGCAGGGAGGATCGCTTGAATCCGGGAGGTGGAGGTTGCAGTGAGCTGAGATCATGCCATTACACCCCAGCCTGGGTGACAGAGTAAGACTCTGTCTCCAAAAAATAACTAACTAACTAACTAAATAAAACAAATAATTGGAAAATAATAAATCCTCAAAATGAAAGTTTTTTGTTCTTTTAAATTAATAAGTTCTGTATATCCTATAGTAGAGGTACCACTGATAGTATGTGAAATAAATTTTAGGTGTTTATAGATTTGATTATGTGTGCAAAATAGAGAGAGATGGTCTCTCACATATATTAATGTTCACACTGAGGATAAGTTGAAAAATATAAAAATGAAGTTTTAAATGTGAGCTAATAATAATATTAAGTAAAGAATAATGTATTTTCATGGTCCTTCAACTGTGCACTGAGGTCCCCACGGGTGCTGCAATGAACTCACAGAGCACTGGAGATGTCCTACCTTTCAAGGGCAATGGCAATACTACCTGAGAACTACTAAACTCAAGACAGTTCTCTTTCAGCATCAGATTGAAACGCTATCTACTTTTCAACCACATTGTACCATTGCACAGTTGAGCTTTTGGCAGTTGCCAAGATTAAAGTAAAACAAGTGCTGCGTGAACATCATTGTGGACTGGGAAACAAAGGTGGTGGCGTCCAATCTGATTCCAAGGCTTTAGAAGTTGTGCAGTGCCCAACAGGCACACACGTCCACTTAGTAAGTACTGTGGTTATTTAATAACAAAATAAAAATGATGTTTTCCTTTCAATTGATATGTTCTATTTTTTCAAATGGCTACCAAGTTGATAGAACCTAAATACTTAATAAGTTGTTTGGACCTAACAAAAAGAGTAGGTATTTCTTTGGGTCTAGGGAGATGGTAAAAGATTGCTAAAACCCTAACAGTGCCATAAAGTAAAAAAGTTTGGGTAGTGACAACAAAAGTTATCAAAGTTCTATGCAACTAACTAAAGTTTTAGAAGCAACATTTAACCCATCTCACCAAGGCGAAGGGGAAGAAGTATGTTTTTTAACTCAACAAGTAAGTTCTCATCTATAAGACGAACAACTTTTTTCCTTTCCTCCTCACATACATTCCTATTATTGGCTAAATTGTGTCCTGGAAAAAATTTGAATGTTGATGTCCTCACCTGAACACCTTGGAATGTGACTGTATTTGAAGATAGGGCCTTTAAAGAGGTGATTAATTTAAAATGAGATCATACTGGTGGGCCTAAACCCAATAGGACTGGAGTCCTTACAACAAGAGGAGGTTGGGACAGGCACACACAGAAAGAAGACCATGTGAAAACACAGGGAGAAGACAGCCATCTACAAGCCAAGGAGAGAGTCCTCGGAAGGGACCAGCCCTGCTGACAACTTGATCTTGGACAACCAGCCTCCAGAATTGTGAGAAAATAACTACTGTTTCCCACCCAGTCAGTGTCACTTCACTACAGCAGCACTAGCTGACAAACACACTTCCTAAATGCCATTGAGTCCCACTGTATCTCATGGCAAAATGCCTTCCAGACAAGCTCTTTCCCTTTTTCCTTTCTGAGTATCCCTGGGCATTCCTAAAATGAACCATAGAGACTATAACTGAGTCCTGAGAAACATTCTGCTTTTCCATTCAAATGCTATCCCTTCCATGATTGTGAAACAATAACATATAGCAATAGAATATAAATTCAAAGCAAGTCACCTTTCCTTATCAGGGAGGAGAAGGACTCTCCACATGACATGGCCTTTCAACCTTTGCCCACAAGCTGAGAAACATATGTGCCTGAAAAGCCACATTCAGTCTAAATTCAAGTTTTTGGGATCTGCAAAATCCTTTTTTGGATGCAATTATGAGTAAAAGCCAGGAGCTTGAGATGTCACACAAGTATCTTCAAGTTCCTTTACATAATCTCCAGAAACACAAGTTTCTTCAGGCATTATTTTAAAGCCCTGGGCTATTTAATACCATGGCAGTTCCACTGATATTAGGGCGTCATGCTCTTTCTTCTGTGAAAACTTTTGTGTAAATCACTTAGAGTGAAAATGAAAGAAAGCCCTTAGGCCCAGGCTGAAAACATGTACTCCTGTAAATCTACAGCACATGCTAGTAAGAACAGCACCTCCACACATGCAGATTGTCTTTTCAGAAAAAGAATAATAAAGTTGGATTAAGAGAGGCAAACATCTCACTCTAATCCTTTGTTGTTTAATTAAAAATATTTATCAGTTGATTAAAGCATTACTCAGATTTCTAAATAAGGTGATAAATATCATCTAGAGAACTCTGGCTTTATTGCATCGCAGAGCTTTCCTAATTAATAATGTTTTCTGTGATATGCAAAAGTTCTAAAGGCTGCCTCACACCGTCATTGGAAGAAAACCAAGATAGCGTCACCATGGAATTTCCAATGCACATATTTCACAATATTCGTATTTCATATGAATATACATGTTTGGAGCCCTAAAATAAAACAAAACCTAGTTTCTCTTTCAAAACAGTTATTATATTTTAATACTTGTAAAAGGAAATGACACATTAGTACAAGCTGCTTTTTTTTTTTTTTTTCTGAGACACAGTCTTGCTCTGTTGCCCAGGCTGGAGCGCAACAGTGCAATCTCGTCTCACTGCAACCTCTACCTCCTGGGTTCAAGTGATTCTCCTGCCTCAGCCTCCCAAGCAGCTGGGATTACAGGCATCTGCCACCAGACCCAGCTAATTTTTTTGATATTTTTAGTAGAGACAGGGTTTCACCATGTTGGCCAGACTGGTCTCAAACTCCTGACCTTGTGATCCACCTGCCTCAGCCTCCCAAAGCACTGGGATTACAGGCGTGAGCCGCCGTGCCTGGCCACAAGCTGCTTTTATAAATGGGTAGACTATGTTCAAGAGACTAAATACCTTCGGCTACTTATTGAAGAGACAGAACATAAAACCAACAAATGAAGCCAAAGTAGAGGACAGGAGGGGAAAGTAGGACTTTCAAATTACACACAACCTCTACTTCACTACCCAGAGTCTAAATGCACCCCTACGGAGGAGTGGCTTCCCACCTCCCCGCCCCACAGCCGAGGAATCGCTGCAGTGAATGAGAGATGTGGTATCTCAAAATATAAGCATTCAGAAGACTGGAGACCATTATTACAAATGAATTGCTCTGTTCGAAAAGTTCAACTTCCGAGAGGAACACCACTAAGTGAAACACAATGGTATCTAGGATGTCATATTTCTCATTGCTGTTACATAAAATAGCTCCATGAATAGTTGCACTGAAAAGTTGAAAGACAACCCTTGCTTTATGGCAAAATCTAGTAAAAGGTGTGTCAGTCTAGTCAAGAAGAAGATATAGTGTCATTAACTCTTTCAGATAGGTTGTGTTCAAAGTCAGCAAATTAAAATTACCCTCACAAACCCCATTTGGTCAATAACAGAGAGTCTGTTTTTGAGAATCATTTCAGAGGAAATAGTGTCCTTTCACTCAGCAAGAGAGGCCGAGCACCTGAGGGTAGTTCCAGGAGCTGATACTAAAGAGGAATTCCCCATCTCCTGCTTACCCTGGTGCATATACTCACTGAATGCGATGACGCACAAGTGGCACATGGTTAATAAAATTAGTATGTCTTCTTCTAAGGGCGTATAGTTTAAGTTAAAGATATATATGTTACAATTCCAGCATTTATAACTATCTCCAAGAATTATGTCCTTAACATAAGATCCTGTGGGTGTCCCCAAGTTCCCTATAAACACATACTTTGACCGTCGACTGCTTCCCCGACCCTGCAAATAGTAAGGCATATTCTTACTTAATGTGTATAGTCAGTGCTTATTTTTTTATGTTCTATAAGGTCACTGTGAACACTGAACTGATGAACACTGAAGCACTGTTCCTAGGGGAATTGCAGGGTTAGGTTCCTCTGAGACCCTAGTCATAACACTTAATCTTGTTTTATGTATGCTTCTGTTGAAGGTAACCTTATGTAATATATGTTGTTGACTCATGAATATTAAACTCACGGCTAATAGCACTGTAACTTATACCTGAACGAAGCTTATCCAACACCTGTATTTTCTCTGTAAGGCACATCACGGTCTTCTTGCCCTCAGGAACTCTAGATAGCACTTCAGCATTATGCTTGGGGGTCACTTTAAACAGCGAAATCACCAACAGAAACCACAAAAATGTAGAAAGCACTGAACAGACCATGAAAGAAGCACTTGTTTGGAGGATGAGAGTTGCAATAAAAAAGCAGTGAACCTCGGGTAGGGTCACTCGACCTCACCTGGAAATGCGTGCCATGGGCAGCTCAAACTTGCCACTCTGCACATGTCCGAGAATGACTGTGGATGTGCCACAGATACTGATTTTGGAGTTACAGGTAGGCAAATTCACAAATACAGAATCCACAAATAATAAGGTTTGACTGTCTTAGGATCATGTAAGTCAACTCCCCTACGGCTCATCATATCCATCTTTCTCCTGTCTTGAAGCTGGTAACAAGCAGTAAACTTTACACAACTCAGGCCGTGTACCTGTATTCTGAGCAACAAATGCCGGTTGGCATGCTCCAGTTTCTTCTGTCGATTTTCAAGTTCTTTTGCGCGTTGCTGTTCTCGTTGCAACTTTCGGATATAGTCCACGGATGCTTTTAAAATGGTTCCCTTGTTCCAGCGCATGTCTCTGCGATGAAAATGAAGGAAAATAGACATTTTTAGGATTTGAGGCTCGATGAAAATTCAATATTTAAAGCATTCCATTTCTCTTTTTCTGAACATTTATTTCTTTTATTTCAATAGTTTTGGGGGAATAGTGGTGCTTGGTTACATGGATGAATTTTTTAGTGGTGTTCTGAGATTTTGGTGTACCCATCACCCAAGCCATGTGCCCTGTACCCAGAGTGTAGTCTTTTATCCACCATCCACCTCCCCCTGCCCCTCTATTTCCCTCAAGTCCTCAAAGTCCATTGTATCATTTTTAAAAGCATTCAATTTTAAAGATATAATAACCAAGCCGGGCGTGGTGGCACACGCCTGTAATCCCAGCACTTTGGGAGGCTGAGGTGGGTGGATCATGAGGTCAGAAGTTTGAGACCAGCTTGACCAACACGGTGAAACCCTGTCTCTACTAAAAATACAAAAATTAGCTGGGCAAGGTGGTGTGTGCCTGTAATCCCAGCTATTCAGGAGGCTGAGGCAGGGCAATCGCTTGAACCCAGGAGGCAGAGGTTATGGTTAGATGAGATCGTGGAACTGCACTCCAGCCTGGTCAACAAAGTGAGACTCTGTCTCAAAAGAAAAAAAAGATAAAAATAATCATACATTAATAATAGCTACTATTCACGAGTGTTTGCCACGTGCCTAATGTTGCCCACCCCATTTGTATACATTGTCTTACTTAACCCAGACAAGCACCTTGTGAGACAGAGATTTTGTGCACATGTTGAAACACAGACAATTCAACTTGTCCTAGGCTCCACAACTACCATATAGTAGAGCCAGGACTTTAGGTCTGTTGATTACAAAGTCAGTTTTCTTAAACACTGTATTAAACAGTTACCGGTTTCTAAAACTATAAAAGTTAACACACTAAAAATAAACCATGGTAAAACAGAGCTGTGAGATCTCACTACTAAATTGTTTGTGGCATAAAACTGGCATCCTTCTATTTTTTTTTTTTTATCATGAATTATCATGGGCAGGTTATCTAGCCTCTCTCTGTATCTGTTTCCTCATATACAAAATGATGATACTATACTTGTGTAAGCAGCCTAGTAAGTATGTTATTGGAATCAAAGGAGCCACTTTACACAAATGTGCTGTTGGAAAGTTAAAAACACATTCAAATAATGGAACAGGCACTGTATTAAAGGCTCAATATAGTAATGCTAATAGCTATCTTTCGATAGCATTTACTATGTGCCATTTTCAAAAATATTTTACAACTTGTATAATCAAAACAACCTTAATGAGTAGGTACTAATATGATCCCCATTTTACTGACTGGAACCTAAAGCACAGAGAGGTTAAATAATTTGCCCAAGGTCACAGAGCTAGGAAGTGGCAGAGCTAGGAAGTGGCAGAGCCAGAAGTCTCAGGACTCTGGCTCTCAACTCCCTGCTCTAAACCACTGTATCATACTTCCTTTTATGTGATTGAGTCCTCAAAGCAACTAGGCTAGGTAAGAAGACTTTGATGTCCCCTTTTTTAACAGATGAGAAAAATGAAGCACAAGAATGCAAGTATCTTCCCCGAAGTTAGATACTTAGTAAGAAACTGTTTTGGAATTCTAAGCCAGGCAGCCTAAAGTGATGTCTCTCAGCTCTTAATCAGTAGAGCTTCAATAAACTTGTATATGAGAGAATTAAGAACACCATTAATACGCAGGTAAAAGTACTTTAAAAAAATAAGAGAGCACTCCAGAAAAAAAAAATGAACTATAATTACATAAGTAATATTTCTATATTGCTTTAAATTATCTGAATCCGTTTATAGACAATATCCATCATAATGATGACAAGCATGATGATGAAAACAAAAACAATGTGATGTATGGAGAACCATCCATCCCATAATCTATAGCTGCTAAAACCAGATTGGAAGTATCAGGTGGAACTGATGAGTGGAGGGTCATTATATAAACAAGTCACTAAACAATTGATCCTCATATGAGTTACATTAAGAACAAAACAGACGTTCTCCCATGAGAGGGACAGTTGCAGGCCCCAGAGAATTCCCTGGGGTTGATCCCTGGAGTCTGAACACCAAAGATGGCAACCCAGGCAAACGTCCTGAGATATCCGAAGTTAGCACAGAGACTTAATATTCAGAGCAAAGATCAAAGTAAGAGAAGTAACTTTGGCAGCTAGAGAGAAATGTAATTAAAATAAATGATGTTTCACATAGGCTAGCAAGATGAGAAATCAAAATTGGGATATTTGAGCAGTCACTCAGTTTAAAAGACATGATTGTTTCAATCAGTTATCTTGGGTTTTGCTTCCTTGTGAGATCCAATCAATCAATTATGCTTCTGAGTTTAAGAAAGGGTTTTCAAACTTTTTTTGCTTGGTAATAAGAGGGACTCTTTTTTCATAGAATAGTGTACACAGGTCTCCATTACATAAGATCAAGAAAAGCAGACTTGCTCTGGTGGGAGAAAAGGTATAGGGCTGAGACCCCAGTCTGTAAGACTGTGTCTCTATAGCAGCCCCAAGGTACATTATAGAAACCTGGTGTGGGTTTAGATTATAGTCAGTTTTATCTTAAAACAATGCCTACAATTAAAGATCATTATCAGTTCAGATTATAAACACGTAAGTATTCTAATACAATGGGGAAAGAAGATATGCAAATAGAGGCTTTCACTACAGCCCCATAGTTTCATAATATGTTGCTAAAGAGATTCACATGCTACAGTTTAAAAGAATATGCTAAAAAGTGAAAGCTGATAAAGAACAGGAAAATGGGAATTCAATTTCAACTATCATGCAAGACTGACTATAGGAAATGAAGGTCACAGCCCTTTAGTAGGATAAATTTGTGCTGCAGAACTGAGAATTTGAAATGTTTCGGGTTTGAAAAAGCCTTTCCTTGAAACCTGGGAAAGCAAAACGTTGAAGATGAAATTGTACGTGTACATTCATGAAAATCACCTCACAATAGGTAATGGTTTTATTTTGTTACAAATTCTCTAACAATAATGTGAATAGCAAATTTAATAAGCCTTGCATGAATAATACTTGATTTTATCTTTACATTTTATTAGGTAGCTAAAAGGTCATATTCAAAGGCTAATTTCATAGAATGCCTGTGGGGGCCATTAAAATGTATACATTTTCTAGCCCCTTGCTTCAAATGGGCCAAGTTCTTATGGATAAAAACTGTGTGTTTGTTGTCCTATCTGCTGATGTTGCAGGTAACTATAGGCTGTTAAGAAAGACTTGAGAAAATTATCTTCACAGCTGGTATCTCTGAAAGGGGCAGGGTAGGTAAAGAGAAACCACAAGCTGAAATCCAAATTAGCTGACCTGTACTTAATAGGAGGATTAAAACATTACTTTCTTCCCCTTGAATGGTAAAACATACAAAGAGTAGGCAAGTTTTCATAAAAACAATTGACCTTTTTTGTCTGTTGCATATCATTAAACTTGAAGCCTCTAATGTCTGTTCATCAGTGCCCATTTAGAGATACTGTACAAGTCAAAGAGGAAACAGTCAACAAATCTAGCTTTAACAGCTATTGAAAGCACTGTACTTCATGAACCATTAAAGGAATTCTTTTTTTAAGCTCAGTATTTGTTTGCAAAGAATTCTTAGGTTTCAGAAAGACACAACCAAAGCATCTAGGGTTTAACAGTCCTTTTGCACAGTTCAATGCTTTTGTCCTGAAATTTTAGTTTGATGAGACTAACCACAAGAAAGGTGTAAGAAGAATTCAGGAACAGAACCAAAGGGAGAAGGGGAGACTTCTTAACTTTAGTTTTTACAACGGCATTTTTTACAACATACGAAAAAATATTCAGATACGAAAAATATATGATGCAGATTAACATGCAATTGTACTCACGGATCATTTGACTTGGGAATCAAAGTACCTAGTTCTTTAATGCGGTCATTTATGTTAAATCTTCTTCTTCGTTCAACTTCAAGAAAAGAGCACAGGAAAGGGCTATTAGTAACAGTGCCATGTATGCATTTAGCATATCTCATCAAAGGCATATGTATATTAACTTCACCAGGTCAGGACAATGGAAACCTGAACCAATTTTATCCCTATTTTTAACCATGTTTTTGGTATTGCAGTTAAAAATAAGCGACCTTTCTTATACATGTGATTTCTTATTTGCTCTTTTAACAACCCTGAAATCAGTTATTATCCTCAGTTACAAATAATGAAATTGCCTTGGAGATATTGTTATTAGGGACTTGGCGAGGACATCCAGCAGTACTTGGTGAACAGCCCAAACTCTAACCTAACCCTGTAGAACAGAAGTCAGCAAACTTTCTGCAAAGATCCAGGAAGTTAGCACTCTGGCTTTGTGGGATAAGTAGCAAAATTTAGAATATTATATAGGTATTTACTTAACTGGAGGGAAAACAAATTTCCACAAATTTTTTTCTGACAAAATTCAAAATATAATAATTGAGTAGAATTTTTTACAAGGCAAATCTACTCATGAAAAGCATTAGAATTTACTTGTCATGCTGAAATTTACATTGCATATAATTTTCATATAACAACATATTTTTTTAGCCTGATTGGTTGATTGATTGAGACGGAGTCTCGCTCTGTTACCCAGGATGGAGTGCAGTGGCATGATCTGGGCTCACTGTGACCCTTACCTCCTGGGTTCATGCGATTCTTGTGCCTCAGCCTCCAGAGTAGCTGGGACTACAAGCACATGCCACCATGCCTGGCTAATTTTTGTATTTTTAGTAGAGAAGGGGCTTTCACTATGTTGGCCAGGCTGGTCTTGAGCTCCTGACCTCAAGTGATCCGCCCTTCTTGACCTCCCAAAGTGCTGAGATTACAGGCGTGAGCCACCGCGCATGGCCTTTTTTTAACAATTTAAAAACGTAAAAAGCATTCTTAACTCATGGGCCACACAAAAAAACCTATGTGCTACCTAACAGAAACATAATTTCTAGCCTAGTGCTACCCAACAGAAATATAATTTGCGTATGTAAGTTTAAGTTTTCTAGTAGTCCTATTTAAAAAGTAAAGAGAAAGAGATGAAATTAACATTTTATTAAACCAATTATGTCCACAATATTATTATTTTAACAGGCAATCAATATAAACATTTACAAATTAAATATTTAACATTATTTTCTTCATTCTAAGTTTTTGGAATCCAGGTCGCATTTTACACTTTCAATTTTACATCGCAATTTGGACCAGCCATATTTCAAGGCTGAGTATGCATCGGTGGTGAATGGCTACTGTATGGGATAGCACAGCCCTAGAACTGAAGTCTAGCATTTTTAGCTATACCAGGCATCTTCACAGCATTCCTATTTTATGAATCTAGGTGTAAGTTCAACTATCATCTTCTTAGGGGAGGATGACCTAATAAGGCACATGAAATGATAAATGTCTCTAATTAATGTAGTCAAGCAAATAAATTCCTAATAATTTGAAGTCTAAGAAATTGGATTAAAACTATTAGTATTTACTCTAAATACTGTAATATATGCTGCTTCTGGATCCACTAATATTCTGTACACTAAGATATATAATGTTATTTCCTGCTTTCCCAATATAAATGGCAGTTTCTTTGGCTGAGAGATTATTCCAATGATGAAATCCGTTTTATATAATACTAAGTCCTACCATTAGACTTTAATAAAATAGAAACCCTAAGTGAAGTTCGATGATTTTGAAGAAGGAATTGTGGGGTCCTTGATCCACTAGCTGACCTTCCCCAAAACTCTGAAGTATGACACTTTCTTCTTCTTTTTTTCCAAGCACATAATAAGCATAAAATTCCTCTAGCCCCTCTGGTTCCTTGCTATTTCTCAAGCAAGCCAGACATGTCCCATTGGAGGACTTCATACAGCTGTTCTACCTGCCTGGAACATTCAGCCTCCAGATATGTGAATGGGACTGCCCTCACTTCCCTCAGGTAGACTCAGGTTACCTATGAGACTTTCTGGTCACCCTCTTTGAAACTGATCCACCACCTCCTATGCTCATGCTGACACTATACTCCCTTGCCTGTCCTTTGACTTCACTGGAACTTTCTGCCATCCCATATTCACATATCCCATTTATCTATTTCTTATGTTTATTCGCTGGTGCATTCCAAGCAACTGTGTGTCTGGCAGATAGTAGGCCCTCAACGAATACGTGTTAAATAAGAAACAAAACATTTAAAATGGAATCATACTAAAAATGACTCTGCATCTATCTTTTTTTTCACTCACCAGCATATAGCTGACATCTTTCACTGTCAATATTTAGTTTTATTTTTAGTTCAGTGACTTCCCTTTCCAACCACTTATTAGAAAGATGATATAAGATAGTAAGAAAATTCAAAAAATACAAAGGTGTGTTAAGGAAAAAGTAAAAGCCAAGTCTTTGTACCATTCAACATCTATATGCCTGGGTAAATTGTCACTGATAAGGGTGATCTCTAGATCGTCTCCCATGCACATACACATCCACATAAACATACACACAAGCACGTCTCTCCCCAGTGTGTTCTTTTTACACATTGGGATATTACAGATATTATTCTACCCCTTGCTCATCTCACTCAGTAATACATGGTAGATGACCCCTAACTCAAAGGTAAGCTTCTCAGGATGGGAAACTCATCTTCTGGTTCACATCATACAAAACAACAGCTCAACGTATATTAATGGCTGAATGGAGTGAATAAATGAATGAGTGAATAGTTGGATATATCCTTTTGTACATTTTGGCAAGTATTCTTACAAAATAAATTCCTAGAAGAGACACAGCTAGACCAAGGAGCAATCTAACCCTCAGTATTAATTCCCAGTGGTTGGGTGATACTTTTAGATTGCTTCATAGCCTTCAGAGTTTGAGTGGATCATGTTTGCACTTTACTGACAACCTTAACCTTGAGAGTTCAGGTGCCTAATTATAGGTATCTATTGTTTTTCATAAGATCCAACTCAGTTTTCCACATCTCACTTAAGTAGTTTTGGATAATGTCTAATTATTTTGTTTCTAAAGTGTTTTAAAGGAATTAATATCTTGGGGTAAAATTACTTAGAAGCTGGAGGAGGCCTTCAAGATAATAGTTTATATCTTTTGGTGAAAAGATAAGGAAAGCTTCTTACACCTGACATGAGAACTGGGGAGGGGCGTGGCTCTTAAAGTGAAAACCAGCACCCTCAGGACCCAGCAGTTCTATTTGTCAGTTCCATTTCTAACATAGAGAAACAAACTTTCTTGTACACAAAGACACATATAAAAATGTTCACTGTGGCATTGTATATAATAGGAAAAAACTAGAAACAACATAAACACACAGCAGTTGGGAAGTTACTAAATACCATACAGTCACACTGTAAAATACTATGCAATTTGTTTTCAAAAGGTAGATAGATCTAGATTTCTAACAGCAAAAGGTTTTCAAAACATACTGCTCAGTAGAAAAAAAAATCAACATAAAATGGACAACATAATACAGTCTGTGTTAAAACATATACAAATACATATTATTTCTTTTCTGTGTGCATGTGTCTATATTCTTAACACATAGAAAAAGGTCAGGAAGAGCAATGCCAAATTGAAACCAACATGCATATTCCTGGGAACTAAAGGAGAACTCTGGCCTTATTGTGTTATTTTTATAAGGAGAAAGTGTTTGTATATGACTCACATTCTTAAAAATCAATTTAAAAAACAGAGGATATGAGGCCATGAGATGAGAAATTCACACACAAAATATTTCCTACCTACAAGCCCAATCCTCTCCCTTTTTTAAATCAGTGCAACTTGTCTTACTTGTTTATAGTAAACAAAAATTGAAGTATTCATAGGAAACAACGTCAAGAATTGATCAAGGGTAAATTGAACACATAAAAATAGTTTAAATGCTTTAGGACTTTTGTTTTTAAAGTCACGAATAACATCAGAAATTTAGGAGGCTACCTCATGCATTTACTCCCCTCTTCAGATCTGTTTCTTTTTTTTCTTTCAGATCTCACTGGAGAAGGTGCTCCCCAAATCCCCTTTTGTTAATAAGTTCCAGTGTGAGCGATACTTATAATTGGGAAGTTGGGGATCAATTCTCCCTTTCAGCAAAAAAAACAAAACAAACAAACAAACAAAAAAAAACAGAGAAACCCCACACTATAAACAAAATAAATAAATAAATAAAAACTCTTCAGAAACTGAAAATAAGTATATATACAAAATTTAATTTGATCTGAGATAAAATATGGGGAAAATATATAGCTTGGTTTCTGTAAAATACAATTTTCTTCCGTAAGAGATAATTCTAACAGCTGTAGAAATTAACTTTCCTCCACAGAATTTCTGGAAACATTTTTGATACATGGGGGAACATTAACTCTAATATCAAACATCAAGAACATAAATAAAATCAACTTACTCAAGTTGTGATTGTCCTTTTTCTGCCTCTCTTTGGCCAGTGCTCTTGCTTCAGACTCTGTGGGAAAAATACACGCTGTGCACGTGAATGAAGTCATTAGAAGTTGGAACTGTTCAAGGTTGCACAAAATGTAAACTACAAAATATCTCATTTCCCAACATATGGAAGCTTATCTGACTTGACTCTAAGTAAAAATATGTTTTTTTTTTAAAGATATCTTTTAAAAAACTTGCACTTCTTCAAAAGCAATATATATATCAAATATACAGCAGGCAAAAACTGCCCTTCCACAAAATGTTAAAAACCCAGTAAAAATGATCTGTGGCACGCTGTAAACATATACAGATACTAGCAAGAAAGAAATCGACAATTAGAAAACTATGTCAATTTGCTGTTGATACAGGAGTCTGATATGTTTTGTTTTCAGGCCATAGAACCTTTCAGTCCTTTTTTGATGCCTTTGTAACATGCAGATATAAAAGCTGAGTAGAGGCCCAGCATGGTGGTTCATGCCTGTAATTCCAGAACTTTGGGAAGTAGAAGTGGAAAGATCACTTGAGCCCAGGAGCTCAAGACCAGTGTGGGTCTTTACAAAAAATAAGTCCAGCATGGTGGGGCATGCTTGCAGTCCCAGCTACTTGGAAGGCTGAAGTGGGAGAATCATTTGAGCCCAGGAGGTTGAGGTTGCAAAAAGCTGTGATCATACCACTGCATGCCAGCCCAGGAGACACAGTGAGACCCTGTCTCAAAAAAAGAAAGAAAGGAAAACAGAAAAAAAAAAAAAAAAAAGCTTCCAAATTGGATCTCTGTATCTTCTGACTAGTTCATGGAATAAACTCATTTTTTCAGAAGTTGTTGCCAGATTATGTTAAAATCTGCTATAATGAAAGCATCTAATAACTCTTAGGAACAACTATTTACTAGCCTAAGTCTATAAAAACAAAATAGAAATAGCATACAGAGGCATTTGGTGGCAACTCCATTTGGAAAGTTCTATTTGCATAGCAACTCTTGTGAGATCTCTGGGATAAGAGACTACTTTTTGCCTTAAAGAGAACAAAGCAAAACAGAATTAAAAAAAAAAAAATGTTACTTGACCAGTCTTGAGATTCAGAAAGCTCTGTTATTTCCTTTTCAGAAGTGATAGTTGATGCATTACACTATCATAATTTAGAATTTTATCTCAAAATAGAAAACTTTTTAGCATAACTTATAGCCACTGAAGCATATATATACACCATATATATTTATTGTATGAGTGTTATATATGCATATATGCATATATATATGCATACATACATTTATATATGCATAATATGCATATCTATGTGTGCGTGTATATATATATAATTCAGAAGTTGAATTCTTTCAGTTGTGATGGTCAATCCAAATCATTTTCTAGTTTTTTTCCCTCACACAGAAGCATGACTTACATACCCTCCACTTCAATGATTCTTAAGTTGTTGTTGTTTTGTTTCGTTTGCTTTGTTTTGGATGGGCTCCCTCCTTTTGCCCAGGCTATAGTGCAGCGGTGCAGTCACAGCTCACTGCAGCCTTGAACTTCCGAGCTCAAGCAATCTGCCTGCCTTGGCTTCCCAATGTGCTGGGATTACTGGTGTGAGCTACTGTGCCTGCCTGATATCCTTGCTTTTGTTGTTGTCTTGCAGTAATTTTCCTTTTTGGTAGGGTAGCAACTTGTGTTTTGGTTTTGGGTGGTTTTCACTTATTAATTACCCTTTTTTCACTCAAATCCATAGTTTTTTAAAAACATCTTTCTCCTGCTTATTTTCTAAAAAAAAAAAAATTTTTAAGACATGACTGGAACAGGAATTCTCTGTACCAAATCCATATTCCATATTCTCAGACTGTTCATCCAATCCAGTAATATGCAAGGATCAAATAATAAAAAGAGGGGTGGGGTAAGGGTCATAAAATTCACCATGGTAGAATGCCAGTTCTAATATAGTTTCTGCCATGTTTTAATGACCAAATAAATGACTTCCCTACAGCATTAAACAAAGTGGAGAAACAGGTAATTTCATACTTGCCTCAAGAACAAATAATACCCATTGCTCCATTTTATAATTTTTTCCCTCTGTATAATAAATCTTTTGCACACAATATAGCAAAAGATAACAGGAGGCATCTGAAGATGTAAGAAATATATTCTTACGCTATCACAACTGTGGTCTCGAATGTGTGTCAAAGGAAAATTCAGATCTGGGTTCTCAAACTCAAATGCCTTCAGGGGCTTGGTAAGAAACATACATATCACGTAGGGTGGAGACAGCTACAGCTGAAAATGTTGCCTACTACAACCAACACAAAAGGCACCTTCACCATAGACACAGTGATAAGTGGCATACGGTAATGGCGGCCCTGATTCCCAGTATTCTCAGTAAATTTTCAAAGATCTCCTTGAAAAAAACAGGATTTTCAAGTATAAATCCTCCATCTTAAAATATTGTACAATGTTTTAACCACTGCAGGGACCTATAAAAGTTATGTCCATGAGTTGGATATAGTTTGCACATCACTCTATGGATAACTTTGTCTTATCAGGAAGTGGACAGAAATCCACAGTAAGAGGCACATTTGCTAAGTGCTTACCTGTGAGCTCCCTTTTTATGTTGGGAAGGTTGGCTGGACAGGAGTTGCTGATGGTGAGGCCTGGCGGAGGCAGACCTTGGTTTCCATAAAGGTCAATCAAGTTTCCTGAGACAGGTAACTAGAAACAAACAGTAACAGAAATTAACTGTTGAACAATTCCCACTTTTTTTCAAATAAAACCACTTTCTACTCTAGGATTTATTTAAGAAAAATTATTTGATACAAAAACTCATTTTTAAAATAGGAAAATATGAGATGTTTACTTTTTCATTTACTCACAGATATTAAAAGAGTTACAGGGTCTCCTCAACTAGTTCCCTTTGAGGGAGAAAAGCAGAGTCTCACATTCACAAAATAATTATACTAACTAGCTGATAGGCTTATTTTCAGCATAATGTGGTGAATGCATTATCTAGTAGCATACAGTAGGTGTTCAGGGAATGCTGGCTATTATTGTAAAACAGGATTGTATATAAAATATGACTTTTCCACCAAATACGACTTCTCATTAAAGTTAATTTTGTTCCTTTCCTCTCTTTTCCACCTCTTATTCTCTCTCTTTCTTTTATAAGGAAAAGCAATAAAAGCATGTTGTTTTTTTAATTGGAAAAGAAATGATTTCCTTATTGCTAAAGAGAAAACGCGTTTCCTTGAAATTGAAATTTTCCACAAAGCCACAAGAGGGAGCCCACAGACTTTAAAAAAGAGCAAAAATTTACACTTTCCAAAAAAAAAAAAGAAAGAAAAAGAAAAAAAGAAATATTTAGTCTTCTCCAAGCTAGCATCAGAGTTTTTCCTCTAGTCCTGAATGGGATGTTTTAAAGCAGCGAGCTCTTCTTTGGTTGTGTGTATGCTTTTCTTGGTAACTAGCTGGTTGCAGCAGTTTATAGGCCTGCTTTTGTAGAAGAGGCCCAAGATGAACTCCCTTCCCATGCCCTGAAATACAGTTTGAAATAGTAACTATGGAGAAATCGTTGAGTGACATCACTCCTTCCACTGCAGACAAGTGCCATTTCTAGATTAATTGAAACGATTTCTATAACTACGATTACTGGGTAAGACTCTATGTTGTTTAGCCCTCCCATTTCTTGATTACACACTGAATTTTATTCTACATCTGAGAAAAGCACATTCATAAAGCATTTAGGTGTGATTAAAGTGTTTAGTGACCGAGAGGTATCTAGTAAAAATTGTACTCAACAGAGTACCTTGCATCCTCTCAAATGAACACTAACATACAGATGAAAATATACCACAAAATACAAGCAGAGTCAAATGTGCTTCCCCTCACTGGTAGCCATTGCATCAATTTCTGTGATGGCTTCTAAACATATATTCTATGAATTAAACCCCTAGCTAAGAAGATTTGGGTGGGAGGCAATGGACATGGAATGAGATACTTCCCAATGGGCAAATCTAAGGCTCGAACAGGATTGCAGTGGGCAGGGAGGACAGACAGACTAGCAGAATACAACTTCCTCTTTTCTTCCTTTTTGAAAGCTGCATTTATAGTATATGTATAAATCCTAATATACATACCCCCCCATATACATGTACAAAAATAGACATTGTGGTCATTTAAAATGCCCTTGAATCATATTTCAAGGCCCTCTAAGTAACTGATAAAAAGTGACTTTCATTATTAGCTGTCATTTCACTAAGTGGTTTTATTTGAAATAGGTCACCTTCTCGGGGTCAATTTTGCTGTGTGTGTGTTTAGTTTTAATCTGTCCAATTTAACGCAAAGTGAAAGGCACTCACACATTTCAAAACAGCCCTGTAAAATACCAGAGAGACTAAACTTATACAGCTGCCATGATGTCTGATAACTCCTTGGATTCCAAAGCTTTATTCCCCTATCTTTTGACAATTTCAGATTTTGGGAAAAGTTCTGGGTTTTAACAAACTAAGAATGTGACTTGAAAACTCAAGGCAATAAGCTAAAAAAAAAAAAAAAAAAAGATTCCCCTTGCTCTAGAAATGCAAATCATATATATTACATTTTCATATGCAAATTGTATACAAAACTCACTGTGTTATTATGATGATTTGTTATGGATAAATAATAGCAAGTGATATGTATCTCTAAGTCACTGATAGACCTACGTTGAACAGACATCAATCCTAAGCTTCTTCTGGACAGGAACATATTTTCTAACTATATTCCAAAGAAGAGGTATGTCCATGAGTAAGAGGGAGAATGCTTTCTGCCATAGAGGGCCTGATGGACAGGGTTGGGGAGACAAAGAGCAATGTGGGGGACACCTAGTGAGAAATGGATTCAGATGGGTGAAGACTATAGCAAGGACTGCCGTAATTAGCATGGATTGACGACAGTGCACGCCAATAAGGGAAATGAATCAAAATCCCTATAGCAAGATGCCTCATTGAGTACTCTACTGAGGTCAGACATCATTACTTCCAGTTGAAAAAGCAGCTTATAGCCCTCTATTTATTTCTCTGAAAGATTCCCTGCTTTGGCTGCTTTTCCCATACTTGCTGATTAGGAGTGGGTGGCAAAAAGCATGCCAGAATATTTTGCTGGGGGTCATGTCATTTTTGGGGGCCTACTTTGGTCAAAGCACAGGACTAAAATGGCACTTCATGTACAGCATCTTACTGATTTTTACAGAAAGAAAGCCAAGGTTTTTGCCATTGCCGAATGAAAGTTTTTGGTTGGAGGTTCATGTCCCACGTTAACAGCAGAACTGGGGGTGGGGAGAATATCAACATGCTGATATTAACCAATTAGAAACTGCAAATTTCAATTCATCTCCAATTAGACCTGAGGAAATAAAAACCCTGCCACTTACTAGCCAAATGTGGATACTCCAATCTACTGATTAATGAGGCAGAGCTTTATGGCCTGTGCTTAAGGAGTCAGAGACCCAGATTAAAATCCTGCCTCTTTACTAACTGGCTCTGTGATATTGAGCAAGTTCTCTGAGGCTTCTGACAACCATTCTTCTCACAGGGTTTTTATGAAATTTAATAAAGTAGGTGAAACACAGTGCCTGCTACGTAAGTGATCAGTAAGTGATAACCACCGCTATGATTAACAATACAGTATTGTAATTTTGTAGGGAGTGCTGGATTCCCACTTTACAGTTTTGACAGTTGAGCTAATTTTCACTTTGATCAACAAAATCACCTGCCATGTTAATTACTAAGTACATGTCAATGAATAGACAATTTTTACCAGACTGTAATGCAAACCTAAGCACAGAAATCAGGGAATCTGCAAGGCTGAGGTGACCACTCATTATTCTAAGTCAGGGCTTCTACACTGGAGCTGATTTTGTTTCCCCGGATCAATGTCTGGAGGTGTTTTCCGTTGACACACCTGCAGGGGATTTGCTGCTGACATCCAGCGGGTGGAGGCCAGGGATGCTGCTAAGCATCCTAAAATGCACAGGACAGTCTCCCACCACAAAGACTTATCCATCCCAAATGTCATCACTTCCACAGTTGAGAAACTGTGTCCTAAATGGTGCTGTATGTCCTTTGTATCAACAGCTGTTATTTGCTGAAGCTACCAAAAGGAAGATTGACAGAAGTAATTTAAAATACGTCATGTAGCCATGCACTTTAAAGAAAGGATTTTGTGGTTCTTTTGAAAACTTCCCCCCTAAGCATAGTTAACATCATAATTAGGTCAAAATAACACCTTTGGAGCTAAGAAAGAAGAAGAAACTTGTTCTATTAACATGTATATTTTGTATATTTGTTGGGTTTTTACCCAGCCCATTTACCTAAATGACACGATTTCACTTCCAGAGCACAAGCTGCACCTTAAACAGATGAAAGCCACAATCTAATCAGGACATATAAATTGAAGGTAGATGCGCCTGGGTCTATGCTCCCATCTTGGTCTGAATTGAGTTCTTCAATGCTGTGCTTCACCAAAATCAATATTTTTCCAAGTAAATGATAATTGTAAAATGTTATCATTTTTTCTCTCTGGATGGTCCCCTTCTCTGAATATCAATTAGCACAAGTAAACTGGGACTTTTATTCTTTGTTTGTGATAGTACAAGAGGGCCCTTGTGCTCTCAGAATAGTTATTTCTAGACTTCAATTCCCTTAGGACAGTTTCCTCTCTAAGTGTTCCTTCCACTTTATTTTTTTCTAAGTAGTTAACTTGAAATAAAGCATTTCAAATAATCAAAAGGAAAAACAATGCCTAACATGAAGAATGTTAAATTTAAAACTTACTGTGGGAAAAAAAATTAAAATGTTAATAGGTTGTAGTAGCTTTTTAATTTAATTTTGACAACTAAAACCCAAGTTCATCAAGAATAAGAGCTAGTAACTAACTTTTAGTGAGAGCTTATCAGGGCCCAACTGTTCTAAATACTTTTTGTGGATCACCTCTTATAATTCTCACATTAATTCTATGGCAGTAGATGCTATTATGATCCCCATTTTACAGACAAGCAGAAGCAGAGAGCTCAAATAACTCACTTGAGAGTATGTATTCAGATGTCTGGTTCAGAGTCTGTGCTCCTAATGTTGAAGTTACATTGTCTTTCCTTTAATGGCAAAATGCTGAAACAGATTTGTTGGAAGAAAACTCTAATGGAGCCACATTTAGCCTTTCCAGCATGGGGATACAGAAGAGAAGACGATACTGGGATAGTCAGTGACTTCTAAGGGTGGTTTCAGGGGACTCCTTTCCTGTTTGGGAATTAATTCAACTGTGCCCAGAGGATCTTTCCTATCTGGAAATTCCCTTGAGATGATCTTTCTCCTTCAGAATCAGCCTTCTCCCTTCAAAGAGCTAAAAGAGTCTCCCCCTTCTAGACAGGTACCCACCCACCTCTATGAGAACAGGAAGCATACTTGAATCATCTTTGCATCCAAAGCACCTTGCCCGGTGCTGGCCACCTATTAGGCATATTAATAAATGCTAAATCAATCTTTAATATAGTTTAGGAGCAACCAGATAATGAAGGAACAAGGCCTCAAGGCTAATGTAGACTGAATGAAGAGGCATGAGGATTCATTCTACTTTTATATTTTTAAATTTGTTTTTTAGAGACAGGGTCTTGCTCTGCTGCCCAGGCTAGAGGACAGTGGTATGATCATGGTTCATTGAATCCTTGAATTCTTGGGCTCAAGTGATCCTCCCATATCAGCCTCCTGAGTAGCTAGGACTACAGGTATGTACTACTACCTCACCCAACTGTTTTTTTACATTTTTTAATAGAGACAGGTTCTCTCTATGTTGCTCAGGCTGATCTCCAACTCCTGGTCTCAAGTGATCCTCCTGCCTCGGCCTCCCAAAGCGCTGGAATTACAGGTGTGAGCCATAGGCCCAGCCAGGTGTTCATTCTAAAGGACAGGAGCATATATGGGGTCATGACAACTGTCTTCAGAAGGGATGGTATGTGGAAAAGTTCTCCATGAAGCAAACTGGAACCCATGCTGCAATTTACAGAGTGATTTACTGTGGGGGATATCATGAGATAGATATGTCTCATGGATATGTCACATGGAGCTTGACACATTATAGGGGCTCAATGAAGATCAGCTGAATAAACAAATACTATCAATATTATTTAATATTATAATTAAAAAGCTATACTTAATAATTTAGGTTACATTATTGAATACAACTAATGTTAGTAAGTTGACTGCACAATATAGGTATATTTAACAGCCCCATTTTACAGATGTAGAAACGTAGAGTTTCAAAAAGCCAAATGACATGCAAGGTCACAGAGGAAATGGCAGATTCAGGACGTGACCCCAGATTTGGTCAGAAATCTCTAAATCCTAACCATTGTGCTTTGCTATTTCCCTAATGAGCTCGTACAGATCCTTTTTTAGAGGCTTCCAAGAAGCTGGATGCCTGATTACTAAGTTAGACCAAATGATATCAAAGGTCTTTGCCATTACAAAAAAGAAGTCAATGATTTTACAGAATCATGTCAATTCTACAGTCCACTTGAGTGTGCCCAGGGACCCATTTGACACCACTAGCAAGATGACCGCTCTCATGACCAAGTTCTTTTGAGATGACTGGGCCATTGCTAATTGATGCTGCTAGAGCAGTGAAACATTGTAAATATACACGTCTTTGGGTATGTTTATAAATTCCCCAGGGCATGCTCCATCAAGTGTTTTGTTCATGTTCATCCTAGGATTCTGACTGCTAAACAAGTGTAGTTGGCCCCATGGGATACACCAACTTGTAAGCAAAAAGGTTTCATAGAAGCCAACCAAGGATTCCAAGAGGTTGGGAGAGTTTGGAATGGAAACTTTTATCACAATGGCAGAACATGTGGTTCTTCCAAAATCAGGGGATGGGTTTAAATGGGTGGAAAGCAGACAAACTCTAAGTATCATAGAAGAAGCTTGAGGTTTCAAGGGGAGTCCTCACCCCACATGAGTTCAAGGAAGTGAGCTTGAAGAACTGGACCAAGATGGATTAAGAAAAAGAAAAAAGAAAAAAAATGCTAACTATAAGACTCAATTTTCTGTGGATTCTGGTGTACCTAAATAAGTGCTATCTTGTTCCCTGGCCAAGGGAATTTACTATCAGAAGTTAGTCTTATCTTTAAAAAAATTTATTTTGGCAAAAAATACATGTCATAAAATTTGCCATCTTAACCAGTTTTAAGTGTACAGCTCAGTAGTGTTATGTACGTTCATGTTTTTATCAAACAGATCTCCATAATTTTTCCTCTTACGAATCTGAGACCCCATACCCATTAAACAACTCCTTTATTCCCTTTCCTCTCAATAAATATTAGTCTTTAAAATACTAGTTATTAAGAATATGATAGCCTCATAGCATTGCTGTCAGAGAAGACAGAAAAGGATTACAGAAGGTATTTGAAGACTTACCAAGAAGGCCTGGCTCTGATACACCCAAGATATGTAATCTTGTGTAAGACCATCTAACCTAGTTACCATTTAAAACTGAGGGCAATGATATCATCCGAACCTGACTCACAGAATAATTGCAAGGACTAAATAGTATCTGCAATAAGACTTTGGTAAAACAGTAACATAAGACTAAAATGTAAGGAATGAAGGAAAATAAACCATATAGGCAAGCCTCTAAATTACAAGAGAATAACAAGTAACATACAATGGTAAATAGAACCATTGGTTTATAAACTGAAGTTGGAATAAATTTTGCTGTTGGAGAAGGGTAACCCCAATGTTTCTCTATCCCCTAAGAATATGAAAAAAACCTCTTGAAAAACCGCACCAACTTTTTCAGGCCAACTAGAACACCATTGTGAACGGTGCAATTCAAAATAGTTCCTTTGGCTAGAGGGTTGGGCATTAGATGTCAAGGGAATTGGAAGGGCTAATGTCCTACTGAAACTGTTCTTGGACTCCAGAGAATGTAGAATTTATCACGGAGTTATTCATAAACTTATAAAAATTCTTAATTTCTGATGACAAAGTCATTTACTTCTGATCCTGATATAATTCTCCATTTTACGATTAGTACATTTCATCAGTGAACCAGTTGCAAAGACACACTAAAAATTTAAGAAAAAAGAAGAGAACCCTGGAAACACCTCAAGATTTTGTATTTAAAAAAAGGTTATCAATACCGTATTCGCCATTTGCAAAGCAGGATCCATCAAGCCCAAGATTTCCTCATTATAACTTGATTCTAGACTAATGATGTCATCAATTACATCATCCATCTGCAGGAAAAAGGGCAACAGAAGAGAGACAAAAGTAAATAAAACTATGTAACACAACCCAAAAAGAGACTCATGGTCTTTTTTTACCCAAAGTAATAATGGTCTTTAGTTAGATTCTAAGAAGTAATTGTCCTCTTTCCACTCAAATAAAATGCTACTGAAGACCATCAACACTAATAGGTGATGAGAATGATACTTGTAGCCAGCATTTAATGAGTGGTTATGAGTTGCCAAGAACTGGGTTCAGGGATTTCCATGGGCTAAGTTTTCACCCTAACAAAAACCCTATCAGGCAGGTACTATTATTATAGCAATTTTCCAGTTGAAATAAATGAGAAGCAGCTTGCCCAAAGTCACACAATAAAGAAAGACTGGAGGCATGATTTAATTCATCCTTTCACAACTATGCTAAACTGCCTGCCCTAATTAGGAAGGTATACCAGAGCACCTCATCATGAATGATAGCTGTCATTCTACTTCCTTTTTTCCCTAAAGACGATGGCCCATACCGTTTTCTTAGAAAAGGAAAAAGCAAACGGTGATTTTGCCCTTTGGTTCCACAGGGATGTGTGGACAGTGTGGCTCCCAGGCCACTGGCTGTCCCTACACCCAGCCTACAGTGACTTGTAAAATAAGTTTCTCCTTGTACAGCTGCCAGTGTGGTTGGTACTCCCCAAGGAGTACACCAGGACGAGGTTATCATTACAGTCGCAGAGCTGACATTCCCACTAGGTCAATTTTATTTCTGAAGTACCAAAACATCAGTTATGATAATAAACAACAGTGATTACATGTGCATTGCAGCAGTTTCAAAGACAAGTCTGTGAAAACATTTCTTTGTAAACACTTACGTATTTGGGCTAGTTGGTGTGTCTGTGCTTGGGTCTTAATAGTACTTCATAGTTACACGTGACCTCTCAGAACTAACAGGGATGCTCTTGCGTCTCTTTTGCCACTTACATTAAAGAGAAGAGGCTCCAACATCATGGGTTTGGGTTGGAATCCCAGTTCTCTCACTTTCTAGATTAGGGGCAAAGCCTCCAATCTTTTAAAGCCTCAGTTTGCCAATCTATAAAATGGGGGGTAATACTATTTACTGTCATATGATTTCACGACAAACTGTACAGAGTGTTCAAAGTACCAGAATATAGTAAATACTCAAAAAAGAAGTCTTATTAAATGATCCCTAAGAAGAATAATTGGCCAGTTTTGAATAACTACTATACAGTGTTTGTTAGGTTCCATTTCTATTGACATCACTTTTATTTGTTTTGTTTGTCTTTAAGAGATGATTTTCTAATTGTAAATAGGCAAATAGGCTAGGAAACTTATGAACAAAATTTTCTTGCTATTTTTAATTTCGTTTTTAGAAAATTAAATAGTGGGCTTGATGTGATAGCATTTTTAAAATAATTTTTTTCTCTTATGACAAAAGTAATGCAAGTTGATGACATGAAATAAAGGCAAAAAATTCTGTTGCTTATTATTCTCTCCTATATCTATATACATGCATAGATATATAAATAGATATAGCATAGTTTATATGTCCACTAAATAGGATGCAATGGAAGAAACTTTAGTTACTTGGGAAAGCATCCATTAAGTATTATTAAATTAATAAAGATAGTTTCAAAATATATGCTCCATGAGATTGCATTTAGGAAACAATATAAAGATTACACACACACATCTTGGTTTTACTAATACAAAAATTGCTAACCTGCAAATTTGCATAACATATTGATAATGTTGAATGACGTATTTGATATCTTATTTATTAAAATTTATATACTTTAAGAAGTTTTTAATGTTTTGGAACAACTTAGGGGAAAAACACATTTTAGTTTATTCTCCTTTGTCATTATTTAATCATGAGATACTATGAGGAAAATGGCACTGTTTATAGCTTTCTCTATTAAAAAAAAAATCAATGGGGTAAAAAAAAAAAACCTTAAGTTTTCAGGAAGGTGTGATCCACCACAAATATAGATTCTCATTACAACGTGTTATATCCTCGGCTGCCAAGTCACTTAGTACCTGCATACAGGATGCTCGTGAATGCGTGTTCATGCCTGGGCACTCGCTCTCTGCCCTGTTTTGCTCTTCAAACTTATAAAATCCCTGCAAAAACACAAGCAAAAACAGCCTGTAACTTGGATTTGCAAATGACTTTTTAATGACCGCTTCACACAAAGCTGATGGCACAGCAATAAGATGAACTAAGCTTTCAAACAAAGTGGAATCTGACCAAAAGATGAAATAATGAAGGTAGAACTTCTGTCAAATCATCTTGCTAGATGACAAATATGGGTAGAGAAAAATAAAGCCATTGGTTTGGGCATAGGGGCAAAGATTTTAGTCCCTCTAGAAATTAAAATCAACCCAACTTGAGAAAAGTTGCCTCTGAATTTGCACAAACACTTCATAGTATATAGAACAGTAAATCCCATTACGATGAAGCTCATCATCTCATAATTTGGAAATAATGAGCATTGAATCACAACTCTCAGGTATTCGTATGCTCCAAATTTTGATGCACCAATTAGCTTGAAGGTAGTTTGAGTCTTGTCTCCAATCCAGCCTTTACCAAAGCAGATTTAACAGGCAGCGGCAATTTTATTATGAAACAGAATGTATCCAGGAATTAAGCCTTTGCATTTCTGTTAAATTCTCATGTGCTATATGATTCAAATCCATCCATGCACATTCCATGCTTTTTTTCCCCCAACTCAGGGAGAAATAAAAATAATATTCCAGACATTCACAACAAGCGGAACTTCTAAACCGCCTGTCCCACACCTCTTCTATTTTTGCTTTTCCTTTTCCACCTCCCCTTCTCCTCTCTCTGCATTTTCACTCTTCATAAACTGACAGGCATGGAAGAGAAGAGAGCACTTAGCTAAGGAAGAAGAAGCAAGTGGCAAAAGTGTCCTCGCCTCCACGTTTTACTTGGAGCGGGCCAGATCTCCTGTCATGTGCCGTACACCCAATAACCCAGCGACGGGGACAAGAGGCTGGAATGCCACAGTCATTATGGTGAATCGGTGACACAGGCTGGTACATGTGGCCATAAGGACAAACTAGAGTCCACAGTAGTGTAGGAGTCATATTCAACAGACAAGTTATTTAGCGTAAGAAAACAGGAGAGGAGAGGAGACATGAATTACCTCTTTTTCACAGTTGGAGTTAAGCGTAAGCATAGCCATGGGGCTGTTGGGTGCGCTGCTCCCCGGCACTGGTGGCATGACATGATCGCCAGGCTGGTTTGGACATGGCAAGCTCAGGACTTGGTTGGCATGTTTATTTGCTAAAGTGGTAGAAAGGTACTGCTTTACCTGCTGCCGCTGGGCTTGCTGTATGTGGTACTTGGTGGGGTTTTCAAGGTGGGTCTGCACCTGAACATAGCCATGGAAGGAAAAGAAGACAGCACGATTATTTGTGAGTTTCAGACAGCTCTTCTTTCAGGCACAAACATGAAACTGACCAGTCCACCAACAGAAGAAATTATTAAGCCTTTGTTATGTACCAGGCACTGTGCTAACGGATTTTGATATTACTGAAGTTTAAAGTCTAACTCGTAGGATTTGGGGTAATACTTTGCCCTATTTTATTTCCCTGCTAATTAACTATACATCTCTTTCAAACCTTACATCCTTCTTCTCATACCTAATAACTAAAAGTTTGAAACTCTCTTAGGGGAAAAATTTCCCCAACACACATGAAAGGGTTTATTAAGATGAAAACAATTTAGAAAAAGTGGCGTAACTCAGTTTATTTCATTTTCCTTGGCAAACAGAACAGCTTTCTTTTTAAAACACACACATACATGCATGTACAAACACACACACACACACACACACACACACAAACTCCTTATGAACAACTGTGTAAAACAGCTATAGAAAATAAACAGAAACCTTCCAATGATTAAATCAACTAGTTGTGTATTAATTCTCCCACTTTCATTTGGACATGATTATTCAACATTTTAATTAAGAAAAAACTCAACATAAAAGCAATCCTACATTAAGCAGTTTCTTTCAAATGCATAACACTTATATGTATATGTTTTAAAAGGCATAACTATTAACAAACCACCAGGATATTTTTTCTCCTTTCCCACAGACCTTAATTCAGAATGAGAAATATTTTTCCCAAAAAAACAACATTATTCAATTTTAAGTCACTTTTTTCTTGATAAACACAATTTAATCTTATGAGCAATTGAACAGGGGCTCATGAAGATGGTTTAGCCATGCACTAAGCAAAACAAAAATTCTACTAATATTTACTTTGTTCAATTCTTATGGCATCAAATAATAAACAGCATTAAAAGACCATATCTGTACTTATCGAAAACAGTATGTTTATTACAATAACATAAAAAGTGGATTAAATCAATTTATTGCATTATATTTCAAAGATTGAATATGAGTCAGAATAAGCTCACCTGATAGTGATTATATTCTAGCATTTCCAGCATAACAACGTTTTAAGTGACCCCAATCCAATGTGAGACAGTAGACTATTGCTTCCTCTGTTTTCTGTAATTCCAATTTGAAGACAGACTGGCATAGAGAAGGCACTATAAACAAGGTATCCCGAGACACCACCGGAAACTTTATCACAGAAGCCCTGCTTATAATAACCTAAGCTAATTAGTTATGCATGTAAAAAAAAATCGTTCACACAAGGGCCTTTTTTTTTTTTTTGGTTTGGAAGCCCTACGAGTTTGGTCTTAAATATTGGTATCAATTTTTCCCCCTGGCTTGATGTCATGCTTTTTTTCATAGATATAAAGGAACCTTTTTAAGTGATGAGCTATCAAAGTCAAACTCACTGTCAGATCAAGGCCAATTCACTATTCATCTTTAGTTCCAGTAGTATTAATAGACAATGGTATTTCTCTTTCATCAATAGGTTAATAGCTGGATGCCCCTTTGGAGGAGACATCATCTAAAAGCTACTATTACATGAGACTTTTCCAGTGGCTGAATAACTGCCACTTCCAACTGCAGGATGACTATTTTTTAGTATAGGAAAAGACACTGTGCTGAACGTTCAAGTTCAACAGCCTCTTCTTGCATCCTGGTATTAATACGCACCTTATTCTTAGCTAGGTAAATGTGTAACCTGCCTATTGACCTCACATCAGGAAGACCAGGAACTATCCTAAATAGAACGTAGCACACACAGAAATAGAGGTATATTTATGTGGATAACAAGAAATAAATATCTCTCATTTGACTCTCAAATGAAAAAGCATGAGCATTTTTACTGAGAATTTTTAAATATTATTCTTAAGTCTATAGAAGAATGAGTTACCATATACACAATTTATACCTTTACATATTTATTCCTTTATTCATTAATGATTGACTGTTATGTGCTAAACACTGTACAAAGCATAGAATATACATTGTGAACAAACAGATATAACTTCCAGCTTTATGAAATTTATATTCTGGGGTGAGGCAAAAAGAGAAGAGAGGCAAGCAAATATATACCTATACATTATGATAAATGCTTAATATCTACTGCTGACAAATGTTAAGCATAAAAATTTGAAATTCATTAATGTTGTTTAAATGCCCGGGATAATGCAGCCCTTTAGGTTGACAATCTTAAGTTCTTTGAAATGACTGATTTAACATGTACACTGAGGTTCACAGAGACATTTTTTTTTGTAAAGGGTCCAGACATGATAATGATGAGGACAACAGATATTACTAAAATAAACATAAAATGAGGGCAATGAGTGGAATGTGCTTATTTCACTATTACACTTAAAAAGGAAAGAGATTCACATTTAAAAATAAATGTTAATTCACTGGCAGATCCTCATTCTTTAATGAATCAGAATATTATGCCTTAGTAAAGAAAGAAGCAATTTGCTTTCTATGTGGCACCGTCAGTGAGGTCTTTATTACATCCAGGTTTGGGTAAGCAGAGTGGGATATATTTGGCTCTTTTACTATCAATAATTTTTTATTTTTCAGTGAAGTTGAAAGCAGATGGCCTATAAACACTATGCAGGAGACAGAACATCTCCAGCTGTTTCCAACCCAAACACTTCAAACAGGCAACAAAAATGAGGAACATGAGCTAGGAGGAAGGTAATAGTGAGTAAAGAGTAGTGAGGTCTGTGGCAAACTAGAGGACACACATCTACCTAGCAGGAACAGCAGATACAAACTGCAGCTGATTGTGGCCATGTGGGAATACCAGTCCAGTCTAGCTCGATCTCCCAATTTTTCAAGGGTAGCTGGCAATCCAAACTTCTTTTTTAATTAAAATCCTGTAGGTTTAAAAATCTGATGCCCAACTATTTTGTGTTTCACAAAGTACAAGCCTCAGCCCACAAACCACTAGAAAATAATCTCTGTTGTACACACCTATAAGGATAATCTTAATATTTACATTCCCTTGGAGATGGCCTCAGTTATAAGAAGAAGTTTTTTTTCTGAGAAGTTAATGTCCAAATCCAGGCATTTCCTGGTGCTTCTTTGAGAGACAACATGCCTGACAACACAGTCAGTGGAGTAGTTAAGAGCTTGAAACCTGGGTTCAAATTCTGTCTTTGCAACTTACTACCCGCGTACCTTCCACAGATCATTAACTTCTCCAGGCCCGCATCTCCTTGTATATTGAATGGGCATGACAGTAGAGCTTGCCTACTAAATGTGTTTCCTGCATTAAATGAGATCATGTTTCTAACGGCCTTAGCACAATATCTAAAACAGTAATTCTCATTTTTGTCTTAGGATCCTTTTACACTCTTCAAATTTATTGTATTTACATGGATTATATCTATCAATATTTAGCATATTAGAAATTAAAATTGAGAAATTTTGAAAACATAATTATACATTAGCACATATCTCACAGGATGTCAGAACAATGACATCTCAACGTGACATGTAGCCTTTGGAAAACTCTACTGTATACTGGTGAAATGAGAGTGAAAAAGGAAAACTATATCTTAGTGTTATCTGGCAGAACCCCTGCAAGAGTCTTGGATACAACCACGGCCCTCTGATTATAGTTTGAGAAACCCTGATCTAGAATGTTGTGGCATTCTAGCATCATCACTGCATCAGCAATGTCACTCCCCACTGTGGACAGGTGGTATGTGACATAGCCTCTATATGTCCACTTCCCTCCCTCAGAAGATGCTGGAGAAAGATATTATTCCTGCCTGAACTCCCTCATAGCATTACTATGAGGCTCTAAAGCCCTTTGACAATTTAAAAAGCCATATAAATATAATTTTTTGTCTTCAGCTATCCTAATTCATAGCTTTTTAGTTAATAACTTTGCTTTCATTAATTTTTAAATAGCCAATCAAACAAGCATGCAAATGAGAACATATATGTAGCGTTAAAGAGGCCAGAAACATCTTTATGATTTCCTGATAATGTTTGCATGTTTTTGAACTTCCAGCTGACTAACCACACTAAGGAATTCAGATAGCAAAAGTTGAGTACTGCTAAACACTTGAAGTATAGATCACAAAAATAAAGCTAAAATACTTTATCATGAAATATTATTTATTGATATAACTCATATTTCATATAAATTATGCTATCTGAGTTAAACGGCAAACAGCCTAAGGCTTTGCAACTTTTATTCGTTGTTACTGCTCCTATCACTTTGCCCGTTTCTTTTCTTCATTCAGATCTTGCATTGATAGCAAGAGAATCGGAATGGATCACTTCCTAACTGTTAACACTTTAGCTTTGCCGCTTCCTGTGTAACACCAACAGGTTATTTTCCATCAGTTTCATTCTAAAGACATCCTGGAGCACATCACATGTCAGTTTAAGATGGTGGCTGTAGATACTACCATCTTGACTGACAACAGAATTCACTGGAGAAAAAATACCTCTATCTAGATATCCACTGTTCTTTATTCTCTCTGCTATTTGTGAACGAGAATTTGAGAAAAAGTGAGTGTAGATTCTCTTAATCCTTTTAGTTTATTTATTATAATTTTAGAGATAGGGTCTTGCTATGTTGCCCAGGCTGGAGTGCAATAGCTATACACAGGTGCAATCGTGGCACACTACAGCCTTGAACTCCTGGGCTCGAGTGATATTCTCACCTCAGTTTCCTGAGTAGCTAGGACATGGTTCTACACCCAAATAACTATATTTTTTAAAAATAGTTCAACAAAATGTTCAGATTTATCACTTATGTTTAGAGAGAGAATTTGTTATTTTGCTCAGTAAGTTTAAAGAAAACTAAATGGATTATTATTTAATCAACTGCTATCTACCACCATGCCATTATTGTTTTCATACAGCTTTTAAAATGGCAATCCAAAGGGAATGTCAGTTATGCAATCATATTTCCTGAAGAAAAGTAGTAAAACAGAGAAAGCTAGCTTTCTCAA